GGTTTAGGTTTTGCGGTTTAGGGGTTAAGGGGTTAGGGCTTAAGGGCTTTTAGGGTGTAGTTTCAGGCTTCAGGGTCCAAATTTAAAAGTTTAGGGTTTAGGGTTAAGGGTTCAGGGTTTGGGGGGTTTAAGGATTAGAATTTGGAGTTTAGCTTAGGGTTTATAGTGCTTTAGGGGCCTTCCGGAATCCCTGACCTTTCAATAGCGGGGAATATGCCTGAAAGTAATAGTTGGATCCCTAGTATATTTTATGTGATATTTCGTCATTAATGGATTTGGGAAGGTTTGGGATCAGGGCTGTGCGCGACTTGAGGCTTGGTCCTTTCGAGAGCTTTTGGAGTTTAGGCCTTTTGCGTCTAGTGTAGGGGCCTTAATAGCTAGGATAGGGGTTGGGGGCCGGTGGTTTAGGGTTTAGGGTTTAGGGTTTAGGGTGTAATTATGATAAGGAACCCCAAAATAGTATTGGTAATTATGTCGGCCTGTACATTAGAGTTTGGAGGGTGTAGGGTGTGCTCAAAAAGGCCCGCAACGCCAATCCCGGCTTCTGGGGATGTCTTGGTTTAAATAGGGGTTCGGGTTTAGGGTTTAGGGTTCCTGCAGCCTCACTACTCCGAGACTGAAATGAAATATCCATGTAATTATATTCAGGTGCCGACAGTCGGTAACTGTTTTCGATTTGTCAACGCCGAACCGTATTCTATGTATCAAGGGCCCCCCCCCCCACATTCGGCCTTGTTCTTATCCTCATCTTGATTACTGTGATATACACCCCTAAATCACACACCCCCGATTTTCAAAGGGGTCTTCATTTAATGTCGTAAAGTATAGGAGCCCTATTTTTGGCCCCTGAAAGAAGCGCTGTAGATTACTCGAAGGCCTACCGAAACCCACAGTTTTAAGCCCATAAATCCGCAAATGGTAAACCCTAAACCCTCAAACGGTAAACCCCAAACCCTGGAACCCTTAAACCCTAAACCCCTAAACCCTTGAACCCTAAGCCCTAACCCCCAAAACCCTGAAACTCCCAAGCCTGAAGCCCCAAAAGCCTGAAATCCACGAACAAAATCCTGAAGCCCCAGAACCCGGAAGCCTGAGGAGCCTGGAGCCCAAACAAACAAGAATCGAACCCTAAAACCCCTTAAGGGATCTTCAAGGGTTCCTTTAAGGGCTTCTTTTAGGGATCTTTAAGGTAAACCCTAAACTCTAGATATAAACCCCAACCCCCTTAGTGGCTTCTGGGCTCTTTTGCTTGCGAGCGCTGAGGTCTGGAATGGGATGGTAAGTTTGCGCCTCAGTGGCTTCGCATCTCCGCTTCTGAGGTCCCTTTGCGGTTTAGGACTCTTCTCAAAGAGGGTTTAGGGTTTGTGGTTTAGGGTTTGGGGTTTAGGGCTCTTCAAGCAGGGTTTGGGGTTTAGGGTTTAGGGTTTGCGGTTTAGGGTTTAGGGTTTGCGTTTTAGGGTTTAGGGTTTGCGAACTAGGGTTTAGGGGTTATAAGGGTTTAGGGCTCTTTTAAAAGGCTGACGGGTCTTCAAGGCTTTAGGGAGGCCTAGGGTTCAGGGGTGACTTAGTTCTACAAAGGCTGCGAAGTTGGTGTGTCCTTCAACATCTTGCGATGGGGGGAGTTGGGCCAGTGGGGTTCTAAAGATTTGGCGTTCTGAGTGGGGTTTAGGGTTTAGGTTTAGGATTTAGGCTTTAAGGCTTAGGGTTCAGGACCATAATAATGTGATTTCGGAGTCATGAGCCTGCGCTTTTGCAAGCTTTGGGGCTACACGTCAAGCTTACCTCCCCTTACACTAGCGGGTTTAGGGTTTAGGGTTTAGGGTTTAGGGTTTAGGGTTTAGGGTTTAGGGTTCTACACGTAGATCCCTTGAATTGGCGACTCTGTACTTCGGTAGTTCTCCAAATCAGGGTCCCTTTCAGGGTCCTGTTTGTAAGGGTGCCGTACTATTTTGGGGACCTAGAAAGGGACAGAGAACTACCGACGAAGTAGGAATCCCCTGAAGCGATCTACTGTGGGATCCTCCGAGGCGTCTGGGTTTAGGGTTTAGGGTTCGGACCCTAAACCCTAAACCCTAAACCCTAAACCCTAAACCCTAAACCCTAAACAACCCTAAACCCTAAACCAGGGGTCCGGGTGTGGCCGGCCCAGGTGCTTCCTGAAGCTTTGTCGCGACACAGATATTCTGGACGACAGCTTCACCGCCGTGGACGCGGACCTCACTTTTGCGAAGGTGCAGGGAGACGGCGGGTTAGTGGGAGTTAAATAGAAAGCCTGACACAAAAAGAGGATACGACCTCAATTCTACTTGGAGGATCATGGGACTTAGTAAGTAAGGCTAGAACTACCTTAGTTGGGGTTATAATTACCTTAGAAGTATAGTAACCTGATTTAAGACCCTATAGATACCAAGTCCCATGAACCTCCAAGTAGTCAACCCTAAACCCTAAACCCTAAACCCTAAACCCTAAGACTCGAGGACCTGGACCTAAGACCTGGAGGCAAGGGCCATCCGAAGCCACGGGGGTTCTTTGAATGGCTCCATCCTCAGGCTTCTTGCCTTACCTTAAGAACCCAAAGCCTACTTTTTTGTAGGGTCCCTATAAATCCCATATTAGGGTTTATAATAAGAACCTGCAGAAAAGTGGGTTTTGGGTTCTTAAGGTAGTTCTCCAATACCCAACCTTTAAACTTTTTGGGCTCTTATAGTTTAGTAGTAATCTGAAAGTTTAACCTTTTGTTCCCTGGCTTATTTTGGAAGTAAGTTGCGGTCGAATGTAGGGGCCTCCGTAGTTACCTAGACTATTCTAAGGGTTCTGTCCTATGACTATAGTATAGGGGACCCCAAAAGCGTATTCTAATGATTCAGGCCTACGTCTAACTACCCATGAACCTCCAAGTAGGGTTTGGTTTGGTTTGGGGTAAACCTTAACCCTAAACCCTTCAACCCTGTATCACAGACCTTAATCTCTAAGCCCTACACCTCAAACCCTGGCGTACACACCCCGCCCAAGAATTTTCCTCTTCAACGGTTCAGTTAAAGGAAATCAGAATCAGGCAGCCCTAAACCCTAAACCCTAAACCCTAAAAAAAGTAGGTTCTCTTGGGTTCTGGCAAGCCCTCTACTTGCAGAGGTTTAGGGTCTGCAGAGGCAGGATCCAGAGATAATGTAGGGGCCTTAATAGTTAGAATATAGGGTTTGGAGTATATTACCCTAAGGGTCCAAGTACCCCATTATTTAAGGACTTTGGGGCCTTTTTGGGTACCTAAAACCATAAATAAGGACTACTTGGACCCTTAGGGTTATACTATAATGATTATAGCAAGGAAGCCCCCGAACCAAAATCTTGCTAAGACTCCTACATGAGTGGTTCAACCCCGAACCCCCACGCTCTTGTTTATTGCTTAGGGTTTATGGCCTCTGCTTGTTACCTCCTGGTCTTGAGTCTTGACATATCCGCTCAGCTTTTCGACCAGCCAAATTGTTGGTAGGAGGGTTTGAGTACGAAATGGATTGAGTCCATGGGGCCCCACACGCCGCCTTAATCCCTCAACTTGAACTTGTTGAGGAATAGGAACTGAAGTTATGTTACTAGGGGGGGTATGTATGTATGCATGCATGCATGCATGCATGCATGCATGCATGCATGTATGTATGTATGTATGTATGTAGGTATGTATGTATGCATGGAAATCCAAAGCCTATATGTTTGCATATATGTTAGCTGCATGTACCATCTACATCAATCTCTAAACTTGTAACTATCGCCGCAAGCGTAACTACATCGTTGGTTGTACCAATGTCTCTGCACGTGTCCACATCACACCTATGCACCTGTATACACATCTATCTTTATCTGTATCTCCAGAAATAGACGCGTATGTCTAAAACTAGGTCTATGAACTATGTCTGTATCTTTATGTATATCTACATCTATAGCTATATCTGTATATAGCTTTATGTAGTATAACTGCATCTGCCTTTGCATCTGTTAACCCCAGACCCACCTTTCACAGGCGCTCCGGAAGGGTCAGCGCCGCCTCTCCTTGCCGCAGCTGCGGGAGGCCGACGCTGGCAAAAAACGGGCACAGGAGTGGGACAAGTTGAGGGTTTTGGGGGTTTTGAGCTTTGGGTTTAAGGTTTAGGGTTTAGGGTTTAGGGTAGGGTTTTGAACTTTGGGTTTAGGTTTTGGAAACTTTCGGTTTGGGGTTTAGATGGCTCCGGCTACTTGGAGGTTCATGGGCAGTTATAAGTGGAGTTATAAGTCCCTTAATATAGGTTATAGCTATAGTTACCCTACTTGTAACCCTACTTAGAACTACCCATGAACCTAGATCCCCTTATCGGACCCCTTATAGAGCCCTTATAGAGCCCTTATAGGAGCCTTACAACTACCCATGGAACCTCCATGGGTCCGGCTACTCATTATTTCGAGGGTCATGACTTCAGAGAGCCTCAAGGTTGAGGGGTTTGCGGTGTAGGGTTTAGGGGTCTGGGGTTTAAGGGAGTAGGGTATAGGGTTTAGGGGTTTAGGGTGTAGGGTTTAGAAGGGTTTAGGGTTTAGGGATTTAGGGTGTAGGGTTTAGGGTTTAGGCTTTAGGATGCGCCCTACCTTGGGCCCGTACCCAAACCTACTTGTGTTTGTAAGGTCCCCATAAATTCTATAGTAGGGCTTATCGTACGACCCTACAGAACGATAGGTTATGGCAGCTTAAGGTAAGCTGTATGCCATGCCTCTGCCAGCATAACTGTGATCATGATCTTTGTGATCATTACGCTTTTCTTCTGGCTCTTCAGGATTTTTGGGCTTAGGGTTTGGGGGCTAGGGTCTAGCAATATGGAATTATTGATTCTGTTGGTTCTTCTGATTAACAATTTTGGGATCGACATGCCGCCACCTTAAGGAACCCTAAACCCTAAACCCCTTAAGGCCCTAAAGAAAAAGGGGTTTATTGATCAGCAGTGCCCCGAGTCACGTCTACACCATAACGCGGCCCCCGCAAATGGAACCAGCTGACTCCCCGCAAAAGCCCAATGAAACCCTATCAGACCCTATGCACATATTATTCATACTGGTGTTGCTACTATCCTTTTTTTTATTATTGTATTTCTTGCTTTTTATGATGATGATCATTAGTAATGATTGTTATCACCGTTACTACTAAGGATTAGTATTGTCAGCACAAGAACTGTCATTATTAATTCTAGCTCGGCGTCGAAACCTCCATCATCGCGGTAGGCGCTGTGCGCAGTGGCCGAGAAAAAGTCGGTGGCCTCTCTTGAGTGGAGTTTTTCTTTTTTGGGGAAGCGGAGGGGTAGGTGGCTGGGGTAGGGTTTTTCAGTTTGGAAGGTTCAGGGTTAAGGGGGGATTAGGATGTAGAGTTTACTGGGCCTTTTGTGCGGGGACCGGGGAGGTTGGGGGGCTTCAGGGCTGTAGGTTGCCGCAAGAGCTACCAAAAGGGTTGCATCAAGGCTGGAAGGGTTCAAGGGTTTTGGGGTTTGGGTTTGAGAGTTATACGTCCCCTAATATAGGCTATAACTATAGTTACCCTACTTAGAACCGTACTTATAACTACGCATGAACCTCCAAGTAAAGCCAGAGGTTTAAGATCAGCGGGCGAGGCCTCGAGTCGTTTTCACGGGTTGTACAGGGTGGTACAAGGCTTAGGGGTTTAGGGTTTAGGGTTTAGGGGGCTTTACAAGGTTTTGCTGACTTTGAGGCTTCCTTAAGGGTATTTTTTGAGAGGTGTTTTCCAGCGTTTGCTGGGTCTCTTTTTTGTGTTCTTGGTTTTGCTGTTCGAGAACCTGGCTTTGTTTTGCACAGATCCAGGCATAGGGTTGTATTTAACTCCAGGTCCCAACCACAGACGCCAGACCCAAGAGGCATATACCGCTAAACGCTTTAGGGTTTAGGGTTTAGGGTTTAGGGTTTAGTGTCGAAACCCTGATTCGGAAAACCTTAGCCCCGGCAGCCTAAACCCTATGTGTGACGGTAGCCCGCAACGCTACAACATGGTATGGACATTTGGGTTGAGGTGAAGTACATAAACACGCATTGCGAATCATAGGGCTTAGGGTATGTACAGGATTTCCGGCTTTATGGCAAGGGTTCAGAGTTCAGGAAAGTCTACCCTAAACCCTAAAGCCTAAACCCTAAACTGTACAGGCTATAGGCTTCAGGGTTTTAGGGTTGTGGGCCTCTTTTGGGTTTTGAGGCGTACTTCGATTCTCGAAATCTTTCACGCGAAATGAACTTAACATAGGGGCCTTACCAGCACTATTCTCAAGTTCCTTATTGTAATACGTCATATTACATTAGTACATGCCCCAAAACCCCAGTCTAATTATCAAGGCCCCTCCCTAAACCCTATAAGCCCCACATTACCCAACTTAGCTGACATCTGCGCGCCCACACGAAGCTTGCGAAGGATCCGTAAAGGCGTCCGTTCGGCATTAACCTCTCAGTGTTCCCTAACCCTGGCTTGGGGTTCAGGATTTAGGGTTCAGGGTTTAGGGTTTTGTTTAGGGTTATCAGGTTTCAGGGTTTGGGGTTATCAGGTTTCAGGGTTTAGGGTTTAGAGTTATCAGGTTTTAGGGGTTAGGGTTTAGGGTTTCAAGGTTTTAAACCCTAAACCCTAAACCCTAAAACCTAAACCCTAAACCCCTATTATCAGGTTTTAGGGTTTAGGGTTTGGGCTTCTTCAGTTTCCAGGGCCCTATAAAGGCACGCGATATTCCACACATCCAGCACATATTCAATATAGGCCGAACCCAAACCCCAGAGCTTCAGCCCTCGTTCTTTAAATTGGGAGCTTCCGAAAATTAGGATACCTTGTTTCTGGGTCCTTATAATAAGGATCCTATTATTCAGTGTACTAGATTAGGGTCCCCTATTTTCGGAAACCCCCAAATGCTCGAGAGTACGACCCTCAACGCTCAAATATTAGCTGTTTAAGCCGAGTGTCTGCAGAGCTAAATATGAGTTTCCCAGAATACGAACCTTATCACCCAGAGGAATGTTTAGGTTTCATAAAAGCCTTACAGCCTTAGTTTTGTGATCGGCCATGTTCCTGTCCGTGGGATTGCCAGGCACCATGTACCACGGCGCTGTTGTGCAGGGAATGATGGACTTCGCCTTTGTCGTAATGCCCATCCAGGCGCTCGGTGGCAAAACAGCAAGGAGCGCGAGCAGGAAGCCTCTGATGCCAGGTTTGCCAGCATATGATTCCTAAACCCTAAACCCTAAAATCCTAAACCCTAAACCATATGGGCAGATCTGGCGTCGGAAGACGAAGCCCGTGGCAAGCAGCTCAAGGCTGTAGCAGCTGCGGGCCCAGAGTCGGCTGGAATCGGGATCACCGGAGGAAGGTGTCTATGAGCCGGTTGCGCTCTACTACAGAGCCATGCGAGCTCTCAACCGCGAGCGGGCCCTTACAGCCTAAACCAAGCAGAATGTTATTGTCCTAAACTCTAAGCCTCAAGCGTAACCAACTGTTGCGCACACCTAAAGCCTAAACCCTAAACCCCAAGGAACCCTAAACCACAGTCACTAGGCCCTAGCCACACAACATCGAACACCCCATTTCAACAATCAATCGCCTCATCAGATCACTGCCTTCAAGGTACCACCCTCGGAGCACCCTAAACCCTAAACCCTAAACCTCAGATCACTGCCTTCAAGGTACCACCCTCGGAGCTGTTTGAGCAGATCGCAGCCTGTTCCGGACCGCGTCTTCAGGGTACCAAGGCCGTGTGTTGGGGGCATGCGAGGATACAGCGCAGGGTAGAGAGTTTGTTTGGGTGTACCTCCAGGCTCCAAACTCTAAACCTAAACCCCAAAACTCAACACCCTCAACCCTAAACCTTAAACTTTAAACCCTACCCCCCAAGCCCGCAAGCCTCTATGGTTTAGGGATTAAGGTTGAGAGTGTAGGGTTTGGGGCGAAAAGAGTTTAGAGTGAAGGCCTAACTCGGGGTAAGAGTTTCGAGCCTCTCTTTTCAATTTTCTTCTTCAGGATTTGTCAAGCTTTCACTAGATGCTGTTCGGGTGTTGCTGGTACTTGACGGATCATGGGACTTAGCTTGCGCGCACCTCAAATTGGGGGGGGGGGGGGTTCATAAGCGCTGACAGCGGTCAGCTTCATTAATCCGCTTATAAAGACCTGTTTACGTTCCGATAAACCCCATTATAATGAACCCTCAAAGCCAAAGACCAAATCAGTTTAAAGCCGCAACTGCAAGTCAAGCACCACTACGCCATGAACCCCAACACCAGGAACCCTACAACCCCAAACCTTAAAGTAACGTAGCATCAACCATTATAGGAAACCTTCATGGAAGCTTTACAAAAACAAACCTTGAAGTACCCGCACACAACCTACCAACAGTCCAGTATAATGAATCCCAATAACCACAACAGAAGACCCTAAAGACCCTAACCTTTGCAGCAGCCTTACAAAAGCAACTCGAAACCCAAAACCCGTAGTCACTACCCTATAAACCTTTGTAGAACTTCAAACCGTAGGCCCAATCCCTAAACCCTATAATTAAACCCTAAACCCTAAACCCTAAATCCTAAACCCCAAACCGTAAACCCTTATGGAACCCCAAACAGCCGTAGGCCAAGCCTGTGCGGCTCCACGCGGCTCCTACTGCGGCGAGCGTGCCAATGGCCAGCTTGGATTCGTCGAGCGGGGTACTCAGAGTCAGGGTCAGTGTCACTTGGTCTGAAGGGTTCGGTTTAGGGTTTAGAGATTAGGATTTTAATGGATTTTAGGGTTAGGGTTTTTAAGGTTTATGGTTTCCCTCATGGGATTCCTTTAGACGGGTTCCCTTAGACGTTCCTTTACAGCGGTTCCTTGAAGCGTTGCGTCAAGGGTTATACAAAAAGTTGAAGACTGTAGGACGGTGGTCTTTCGTTTAGGGTTTAGGGTTCAGGGTTTAGGGTTTTGGGTTTGGGTTTGGGGTTTAGGCTTAGGGTTTAGGGTTTAGGGTTGTTTAGGGACCATAAACCCTAAACCAAAAACCCTAAACGGCCCTGCCTGTGGTATCCATTGTAGCTCCTTTCTGGGGATACCTTATAAAATCCTTAACATATAATTGGTTAAACCAAAAAGAGGAACTACAAAGGAGACTATAGGTAAACCCT